TGCCTGATATTTACGTCTTTTTGGGTCAGTACCTGCGTAAAGCCCTTTTTCCTAACACAGAAACTAGTCGCCAGATGTTTTACGCCCTCGATTATTATCGGTCTTTGTTTGGATGATCACGTCTTAAGTGACCGTACTTTTTACCATTATACAGTAGCTTTGGTTTACCTTTTGGTCTATTAAATTTATTGAATATTAAATTTATTATCTTTTTTTTTGTGTCAAGCTTTGATCGCATACTCGAATGTTTTACATAACTTTCATCTACCTCTTTCGTTTTATAGCTGTGCGCATAATAAAATGAACTGAACACTATCCGCGGATTTTTTTTTGAGAAGTTTTAGATTTGTTAACATGAGTCTGAATGAGTCTGAATCTTGAATCTGAATTAGTTTGAATCCCACTTCTGAAATTTAGCTGTAAGATTTTTTTTTGTTTACTTTCTTTATAAAATAATAAACAATTTAAACAACTAACAAAACCATAACTCGTGACAGAATAATTAAAATGTTTTAAAGTATTATATTGTCAGGAAAACAAATATATAATAAATCACAGACTCACCAAATAATCCCTGAAGCATTGACCCTGAGCGGAGGCGTACTTTAATACCTGTCACAATTAAAAGTAAGGATAAGTGTCCAGTTCATAATTCCTACCTACTTAACTGCTATATGCCGATATTGTTTTGCCCTAACTACCTATTATTTATTTTCTATTTATCTTACTAGATGGACTAATTTATCTCTGTCTCTCTCAATACAAGATTTACAAACATATCTATGCAAATGCACTACTTGGCCTTCCGCCCACGCACCCCCTGATGGCGCGGACTCCAGAGTAATCAGCCGCACGGACAACAGAATAAACACAACATATCGATACCGAGATTCGAGGACCCTGGGGGCCTGTTCCCCCCGCTGAAGACCCGGAGGTACCGTCCCAGACATAATAGTAATGTCCGTTGACACACGGCGTACGGAATCCCAGATCCCTGCCTGTGCGACGTTGCGACATTACGAGGATTCGCGTCCCTGCTACTATGACATTACGGGATCCCAGATCCTGCCAAGCAACATTAACGGGCCTATCCTTGCGCTTCCTCAAGCTAAGCAGTACTAACTCTACTGAGAACAGAAATTCACTAATCCACCTAAAGCTTACGTGGCTATCATATTAACTAATTAGGTACTTTATAAAAGAACTATCCAATCTCTCTCTCTCTCTTGATTACAAATTTACTTATCTCATCAAATACTAACGTACTGTCTTGCCCCCGTCCACGCCCCCCCGTGGCACGGTCTAGACGAACCAGAAGACCCGGATACAGCGGCTGAATCTCTCGGGGTCCCGCTCCCGCATCTGGTTACGCCCAGAGGCACAATATAAAAACCGGTGATAACCAGGATTTTACTCCCTACACCGTTGCGACATTACGAGGAATCGCGTCCCTGCTACTATGACATTACGGGATCCCAGATCCTGCCAAGCAACATTAACGGGCCTATCCTTGCGCTCCTCCTGACTAGACAGCACCGACTCTACAGAGTAAAGAGATTCAATAGCCTATCTAAACAAAGCTCACGTAGCTGCCGCATCGGTATACCGCCGCATTATTTAATTACTAACCCTATCTAACTTTCATATTCTATATTTTGACCTAGCATGTATACGGCGCAGTTATTTAATGTAATATTTAATAATATGTGTACGCAAATGATATCTAACAAAACGTATCAATATATTTATCAAAATATTCATGATCTAATTAATTAATAAACTACGACACTTAGTGAGATGTACTCACCCTGCTTCTGCTTATATCACTGCACTAACTAACTAATTAACTTTACTTTAACTGACACACTATTCACGCCACCGCACTCAAAACTGTACTGTGCGTCGGAATATGTGTATTTTTCTGCATTAGGTAATATTCTCAAACTTTCTTTTTCGAAACAGAATTGTTTCGACCAATCATCGTTCGATTTTGAACGCTTTTCTAGGAATACTTTTACCCCTAAATCGGAGCGCAGGACGCCCATAAATCAGATAGGGCGTGACATGCTTGAGACGCAGAAATACTTAGCAGGCACAAACTCTTAATATGTGTCGTTTTAAAACCTATGTTAAAAGAAATATTATTGGGAAAATAAACTCACGTTATACTTTTAAATATTTTTATATTATTTGGAACGTTTGAAATTATTTAAAAACTTATTTGGTGGCGTTTGAAAAAATGGCAGGTTCTATTCGGAGTAAAAATGACTTTTTGTGCCAGGGCTGTATGTGGGACTCGCTCGCTCGTCCAAACGTACAGCTTCGCCACGGAAAGTATCATTTTTTACTCCTAACGAAACAATATACTATTTCCCTCTTGTAAATAAAATCCAAGCACATACTTAATAGTTTACGATCGTACAGCAATCACATGCCTGATGTGAGTTATTTTTTATGAAGAAATTTAAGAGATTCATATAATCCTTACCCTTAACCTAAAGAATGCAATATTTTACGAAAAAATTGTAGATTTACAATTTTATATCCAATTTTTATTTTTAAATCACACTTTTTGCAACTCTTCTTCTATTCGAATCGAGTGTTCGTAATCCGCCTGCTGATTTTATTTTGATTACCTGATGTGAAAATTTTACTTCTAACTTTTCCATCAATACGTAAATAAAAACATGAACGTAAGTAGAAAAGCAGCATAGATTACATATTAAAGAAAATTCAGCATATCTACATAATTTAAGTGAATCTATGCGTGTTTAAAAAATATAAACTAAATGCCAGTTTGGGATATTATACCATATTTTTTTTATTTATTTAATAGTTTTATTTGTATACATAAATTGAAAGCTATTGTCACAAATTCTTATAGCTATCTAACATTGTTTATTGTTTAGTCTATTCAGTTTTTTCGATGATTTGTCATTGTTTTTGAATTTGCACCGGCAAGAGATAACGGCAGGGTTGGGAGTAGCGCGTATTGTGTATTTAACAGAGGTGCATTCAGGCGCTCGATGCAAGGGATCATTATTGCATTTAGTTATTTTATTGGCATTTGGCATATTTTGTCATCGTTTGAGTAATTGCTCTGACTGTTTTTTTTTGCTTTCAAAAACATAAAGGATAGGATACTATCCTATAGATTATAAATATATTTTAGGTCAATGATTGGATAGTATAAAAAAATAATTTTTATTGCACGCCCAACATATTCTACTAATTACTATCTACTTTATTCCTAAGTGTCCTATTTTGATTTACTTAGCAATCGAAACAGTAGATTATCCGTGCGAGCGCCAAGTCATTATAATTATTATTATAGAAATAAAGAAATGGGGGGCACTTGGCTTGGACACTACCGACTGAGACAGATACTTGTGTTCAAAATAAAAAATACAACTTTGTACTGTTGTGCATAGGTATATATAATATGGGGTGATTTTAAATACATCTTATTAATTTATGATATAAAACACAGGGGTTTCCATCAAGGGCGGTTTTAGAAAAAAATTATAGGGCGGGTAATTTTAAATAAAAAATAAATAGAGAAATGTGCATGTGAAATTAATTTTTATATTAAGAATAAAACTTTAATATTGAAATAATAATAATAATATCAATAATAGATATTTTTTTCTTGCATTTGCTTTTCTTAAACCTGCTGGCTTTAAATCTGAGACTGAGGGATTCTTACTGGCATACCATTTTGATGTAATGTAAGTACACTCTTGTGTACCGCGGTCTGGACTTGAAATATTTGTGGTAGAAAAGAATAAGCATAGGAAGTACGTCGAGCTAATTGTCGAGGTGCGCAGGATATACCCTGAATTACAATTATGATTGACAGCGTTTTAGGAGGCATGAGAACTTATAACCGGACTTCGGAAAATTATGCCGAGGATCATCCGGGCAGATTGCGATATATTATATATATAGAAAGCAGTGGTCATTGGGACCCTTCAACTGTTGAGGCAAATGAGTTCTCTGATTTGCCTCACTACAACCACTAAACAAGTGTATACAAGGAATGATTGTCGATACGGGTAAACGTTCACGAGACATAGGGAGTGTTGCGTCGAACACAGTTTTCTTTCGAGCGTAAAAAATGACGATTTCAGATAGGTACACCAATTAAATTTTGAATATTATTTATTAGTTCTAACAAATCGTCCTTATTCTCGAAGAAATATATGCTATATAATAATGTCAAAAATAATTGCTTAAGGGGAATGTTTCATTTGACGTTTTTAAGTTAATGTTAAATTTACTATATTATTTATTTGAAGTTTGAAAGGGCTAGGGGAGGGGGTAATTACACCCATTACCTCTCCCCTAAAACCGCGCTTGGGTTCCGTTTGAAATATTATTAGTTTTGAAAAAAAAAATCATAAATATCTACTTTTAGTCGAAAGGAATCAGTAATTTGTAATTTAACTACTTTTTAATTTGAGAGTACCTATTTTAAATGTACAAAATATCTAGAATTGGTTATAGGTATTATTCATACATTATGATATTTTTGGAATGAGAATTTTATTTCATCAACATATATTTAAAATTTAAAATCTAAAAGTTCAATGTAAAAGTATATTTAGGTGCCTCTGTATTTCTATGAAAATATGTTTAAAATTGTCGCTATGGTTGCCGGCATGTTTCATAAAATATTGGATTAAAAATCTAAAATAGGAATCACCACAAGGAGTCTGTTTGGGACACTTTCTCAGAACATTCTACATATTCCTGTGGCTATGTATATAATTTATAATCATTAAACATTTATACTACCAGACTATCATTCAATTTATTATTAAACATAATGAATCAATATTATATTAAACATAATGTTTATTATATTAAACATAATGAATCAAAAATTAAAAACTTTCATATTCGAAGCCGGCCCATCTATTGATGTATTCTTAAAATATCGCTCGGTGTTTTTTATTTAATCATCTTAAAACTGAAAACAATTTTATTCCTGTATTGACTGCAGTACTGTGTGGTAAAAATAGGCGTGTTTTTTTTTCGAAAAATGGAGGGCGAAATTTATGCTTTTTTGAATGAACCCTTTAATTATCGGGAACTCCACAATTTCCTGGGGACAAGGCGAAACATCCAAGAGAGAAGAGAGGCCAACAATCGGGGCATAAAACTTTTAGAGCATTTTTCCACAATACCAAACAGAAACGTGGAAATTGATTGTATCAATCCGGGATGCAATCTGCAAATGAAAGCCCACTCGGATAGAACCATTGCCGTCGGGTGGAGATTCTGCTGCCCGGCAAACCACAAGATTAGTGCAACCAACAACACATTCTTACACAATGTTCGTCTAAGGGAGATTGGAGCAGACAGGATTGTGGAAATAATAGCATATTGGTTGGATCAACAACCATTAGATTACACAATTGCGGAGACAAAAATAGCGACAGACACAGCAGTCGCTTGGTATAAATACTGCAGAGATGTGGCAAGGAAAGTGGCTTGGCACAATTTTCGACAAATTGGTGGACCACAAGACATAGTGGAAGTTGACGAAACCCACCTTACCAAAAGGAAATACAACATAGGTCGCCATACAGCCTGGAGGCATTGTTGGGTCTTTGGTGGGACAAGTAGGACAAGTAAAAAAGTATTTGCTACAACAGTAGAAGATCGCTCAGCAAATACATTACTACCTATTATGCAGCAATTTATAGACCACGAAACATTTATTTGTTCGGATGAATGGAGAGCTTATGGATTGTGTAACCAATTATTTTCGGGGCACGGAACTGTGAACCACTCTGTGAATTTTTTAAACCCTGCCAGGGATGACGATCCCTTGTGGATGCCTGCTGGCAGATTTCATGAAAACTGCTTAGACGAAGCCTTTAACGGCCCTGTGCCTAATGTAAATATGGTGCCAATACGGTGAGTATACATTTTTATCTCTTATACAACTTATACAAGTTTATGATTGTGTTTATGATGTAATTATTTTTTAGTTATCATACTCAAAATATAGAAAGGCAATGGCGAGCCTTAAAAACAATCTTTAAAAGAGGATCAGGCATAACATATGCCGACGATTACATCGGAGAGTGGATGTATCGGACCAACGATCTATCAGAAGTCAACAGTCGAGCGGCCCGGTTCGAGATGTTCTGCCGAGATATTGCCAGAGCGTATCCCGGACCGGGACGGCGCGGCGCCCGATGTCCGCAAATCTTATTGAATGCGATTGCCACGAGTGCGAGCCGTTATAAGAGTGCGAGTAAGATACCGATTTTTTTATCTAGCTTTTAAAGACGTCTTTCAAAAACTTTTTTCACAAACTCATAGGTAGAATAGTCGCAATTAAAGAAAAGGCCAGGAGCGTCATTAATAGGGATGGGCGATAATGGCTTATAACTATCGATAAGTATTGCAATTCCCTATCAATATATTTTAGTTATCGATATGTCGATAATTATCGATATATCGATAATTTTGAAGTCACCTATTGTTATTAGCAATAAATATCGATGTTATCGATATATCGAAAAAAATCCCATCCGTAGGCATCAATATTTTTTATATTTTGTCGATGTTCGCCTCCTCGACGTTAAATAGTGTCGTGCGAAATAATTCCAAATAATATTTTATAGCGTTAGAATAAAAATACCCTAAGTACATATTAGAGACATAATTCCATACCTAGAAATACCGTATGGTCGAAAAAAACGGCGTCCAATTGGCTTGGAAATGAACATCGTTGACATTCCCCATATAATTTTACATATAAAATGACAGCGATCTTCATTTCATAGCCATCGCTGACGCCGTTTTTATTCGATCATACGGTATATCTTTATTCTAAGAGAATAAAATACGCTCATGGTTCAAAGGGCGTTCGCTATGCACTCGCGTCATTAATGACCCTCCTCGCCTTTCTCTTTAGGTGTCGCCGTTCTTGACAAAAAAAATCGAAAAGTTTATATTTTTGGGGAAAATACCTGTATATTTATGAAACATATATGGCAAAATCAGATTCTAAATTATATATATTAAAAGGTGCTGTGGATCAAAATGAAACTAGATGAATGCATTTCTATTTATTTTAAGAGCAGTATACAGGATCCGGCAATAGTGCGTCGGATATCTGTAGCTCCTAGAATAAAAAACTTGGGAATTCTGTTTAGTGCAGACCTAAAAGTATGTACTACGATGTATTTCGAGAAAATATTTAAACTTCTATAGGGTGGCTCACAAAAGTATAAATCGATCGAGATATTTTTTTTAAATGGCACATTATGTAGATATATTATTTTTTCAATAGATGGGAGAATAAAAAAATGAACATTTTTTTGTATTTAGAGTACTATTTCAAAATTTTTAACATTTTGACAGATATTTGCGGTTATATATTTCATATGGCATTTTCTACCATAAATTTTTATCAGACACCTCAAAGGCACCCAATGCTTTTTCTCTCGTATTTTATCGTTGAAAGAGCCATATGAAATAATACTGCGTGTATCTGCCGAAATCATTATACATTTAATAAATACTTTAAATACAAAAAATGTTGATTTTTTAACTGTTAATCTAATACAACAATAATATACAGGATGTCTCAATTAAAAAAAAATATATTTTATACTGTAGAAAGTTTGGCCTAGAATTTTGAACACCCTGTATGATTTAAGATTTACGATACTTATAGCAAAGTAAGTAAAAACCAACCAGTAAATACTAAATATCCTGTAGAGTTTTGATTTCAGGACATTTCTTGTATTTTTATCACATTTTTAAATAAGGCTCAAGGAAATATTTTTTTATTTATTCACTAATATCACTGAAATTATCGAAATATATTTTTTCATATCTTAGGATTATGTAAAGTGATCTGAAAGGAAGCCAAAAATGTAATAATATACAGGGTGCGTCTTCTACATATATACAGGGTGCTACAAATTCGAGGTACGAGCATTGGTATCTCGGAAACCTTAATAGATACGAAGATGGTTAAATTGGGGCAAAGTGGCGCTTTGGGATGTTCACCAAGATGCCATCAAAAAAGTTTTAAAAATTTCAAGGATTGCTGAGTTTTTTGGAAAAACTGATTTTGTTGGAAATTTTATTTTTTCCTGTCGTTACTTTTGAGAAATCAAAAAACTAATTTAACGTTAACTAATAACGTTCTCATAGCCACTTTATTAGGGCTATCTGATAGTACTTTTAGATTTTCAAATTAGCTAATAATTTGTGAGATACATAGGCCAACTTAATTTTTTTCAATACAGACCTGCATTTTTTATTTCAGGTTTTGAAAGAACTCGGTCTCCTGAGTATAATGATATGCCACATTTGATACTTTTTTTTAGTTTTGGGTACCTTAACAACAAAAAAACTATTTAATTATTATTTAAAATAATTTCAAGTTCGACTCTGGTTTTTTTAATTATTTAATCTAATTATATTCATCCCAATAATACAGATCAGCGCTAATCAGCATCGAATAAGGAAAATCGAGCCAATTCAAAAATTCAAATAAATAATATCCACGTCAGAAATTTATAGATATTATTTTTAACTTTTTTTATTGTGAATTTGGGATCTCAGTGTACGATCTAATATTAATCGTAGTTATTATAAATAAATGATCTTCTATAAACTAGTTTCTAATGCTCTACATGTTCCAAAGGGTTACTACCCTCCCTAATGCACAAATTTATTTTTTGTTCAATCTTATTTATACCTCTTTGAACATAATTTCTTGTTATAGTTCCAAATGGCATTTTGTACTCTTTATTGTAAATGTTGAAATGTATTGATTTCACTTTTACAAATGACGCCAAGTAATGCCCCTTTAGTTATTCCATTTGATTTTCCGCATTCAATGTTTTACCCCACGTCATTGTTAAGTTTGAAAGCACATCGATATTGTAACGATGAATACATTAAATCTTTAAAAAAAACAGAGCCGGACTTGAAATTAGTTTAAATAAATTATGTTCAAATGTGAGAAACAAAAAAAATATTAAGTGTGGCATATCATTGTACTCAGGAGACTGAGTTCTTTCAAAGTCTGAAATAAAAAATGCAGGTCCGTATTTAAAAAAATTAAAATGGCCACTGTATCTCACAAATTATCAGCTAATTTGATAATATAAAAATACTATCAGATAGCCCTAATAAAGTGGCGATGAGAATGTGCAATTAGTTTTTTGATTTCCTAAAAAGGAACGACAGGAAAAAATAAAATTGATTTTCAAAAAAATGCGTTTTCTCCAAAAAACTCAGCAATCCTTGAAATTTTGAAAACTTTTTTGATGGAATCTTGGTGAACATCCCAAAGCACAACTTTGCCCCAATTTAACCATGTTCGTATCTATTACGGTTACCGAGATACCAATGCTCGTACCTCGAATTTGTAGCACCCTGTATACAGGGTGTCCCAGAAATAAGTGTAAATATTTTAACTGGTAGTATAGTTCAACCACAGAAACACGCCTATGAGGTATCTTTCGCAAAAAAAAATTGAAAATTCGAAATTTTTTGAAAAATTTTTTGGATTTTTTTTTTAGTTTTTAATTAAAAAACATAATTTCTTGATAATATGGCAACATAGGTAATAGATTAAATTTACAAGAAAGAAAATCCAGAAAAGATCCAGTGGTTCTCAAAATTTTAGCAAAAAATCATTTTTTTTTAATTTTCAAAGTAAAAAAACTCCGTTATTTTGGACTTATTTGAAAAACAATAAAGAGAAAATATGTTTCTTTTATCGAGATCTATCACCTCTTAAAATATTTGCACTTATTTCTGGGACACCCTGTATATAATACAGGTCAAGCTTTTATAGCTTAAGTTTTAATTTTCTCGATTACTGTATTTGGGCTCTCAGGTAGTACCAGTTCCGGACGAGATAAAGGTCTGAAATTTGTAGGGTAGTATCAGTGACCCCCCTGGAGCCTCGAAACCAAATTTCAGCCTTCTAGGTTAAGTTTTAATTTTCTCGATTACTGTATTTGGGCTCTCAGGTAGTACCAGTTCCGGTCGAGATATATTCGGATCCATCCTCCTATATCCGGATATATCCTCCGGAGATATCGTATGATTTCAACCAAAATGGGACACCCTGTACATTATTTTTCTATTATGCCGCGACCGCACATGCGGCATATGGCGATTTCCGAGCGCTCATCGCAGATCTCCATTCAGTGTGGACGGGGAAGTTGGTATTCGGCGACTTGATCGGCGACAAGAACGAGCGCTCGGAAATCGCCGACTGCCGTATGTGCGGTCGCGGCATTAGAGGCAGAATTAAAATCATGTCTATTTTTTGTATTATTAAACAAACGTTATTTGCATTAATTATTATTAATCATAAATATTTATTTTAATGGCTAAAATTTATAATTCGAGTATTTTTTATTTTGCAATATGAAGTATTTTTTCTAGGAAATTAGCAGAGATGACTTGGGCCCGCATAGCCAACAATAGACAACAATGGACCCAACTACAAAGAGAGTATCTAAATATGTGAGGGAGGCTACACCATAATTGGAAATGGTTGAATAAGCTGAAACTGATGAGAGGAGAATTAAGCCTTGGCTTGACAGCAGTAATATAAAAAACTAATTCACAACCTCTCTTCTTACAGTGCCATACTCTATACCTAGCGTCGACTACCTCTCGCATGTACTTGTGATGTGTGTCATCAGTGTTTCACAAGTATACGGTACCTACAGTTTATCGCCGAATCCGGACGGCACGATTTGGGAGGCCGTACAAGGCAAATATACTCAAGGTGGTTTGCCATTGCCTTCCTTGAGGTGGCGGCTCGCTGGTCGCTCCATTTAGATACATCAATATTTTTATTTAAATAATAATATATAATAAACGGACCGTACTGGCTGAGGATCGGACCCAGTACCATCCCATCTCTAGCACCGTAGATCGACACACTAACTGCTTGAGCTACAGCCGGCCACCAATTCACAACCAATACACCAAAATATAATCATGAAATGATGAATAAAACTAGACGATGACATTTTAAATGCAAGTAAGTTTTTCTGAGTATAACAAATGTCATAGTCACCCTGTACATACTATCTATCTTACAGGTTAATTTCTAACCAATTATAATGAATTTGTTAATTTTCTAAAAATAATTATGACATTTCAATTTTAATGGCTAAAATTTATAATTTGAGTAATTTTTAATATGAAATATTTTATTTCAGCAAAATTAGAGATAATAATTAAGTTTTGACTTAGCAACAGCAATATAAAACACTAATTCACCACAATCCGCTAAAACATCATCGTGAAACATCATCAGCAGATTATTAAAACTATAAAAACCTTTTGAATGCGGGTAAGTTTTTCTGAATTAGTGCCCACACACACAAAAAACATTATTTTTTTTATTTTACTTTTAGAATGGATTTATACTACTTTCGTCTCTTACCCAAGTTAGATTCGAATAAGTATTTTCTTGTTGAGATCGATATATATCGATCTTACGATGTTAACATCTAAACATTATATTTGTGCTCCTATGAAATATCAAGCCTAGGTAATTTTAAAAGATAGTTTTATAGGTCTTGTCGGATTTAATGATAATTAATTTCAGATACGGAGGGGAAATCATAATACATCGTCTGGCAATGATAGATTCAAGAAATTTCCAGATGAGTTGCAGTACCGCTGTATTTTACACTCGAAATAACATCTGAGATCGTTCACTTTACATCCACTGACTCTCCAATGAATCTACATGCCTCATACTAGATCCTCTACCAAAAAATGCTTTTAAACTTTTCCACGCCGTTAAATGCAGCTGAATACTTGTCATGGAAACTCCCCGCAAGCATCAACGAAGGGTATTTGTGTCTCCGAGAGTTCACTATAAAATTATGTTCATGGCTAACAGTTCCGTGCCCGGAAAATACTTCATTACAATATGTGGACTGGTCGGTTTCAAAGTCTTTATTGATCTGTTTTATACAACCTCTTTCTTGGTTCTAAAATACCCAACAATGCCTCTATGCCTTAGGACGACGTACATGGGATACGTGTTTCGTCAACTTCCACTATTTCTTGTGATCCACCATTTTGTTGAAAATTCTGCCATGCCACTTTTCTTGCAACTGCCAGTCGTGTCTGTCGCTGTTAACTGTAAACCAGTAAACTATTATATCTATAATAATTCTCTTCGCTCCTATCTTCCTTAGACGAACATTATGAGTTGAGTGAGCTTTCATTTTCAAATTATATCCCGTATTTATTCAGTCAATTTCCACATTTCTGTTTGGAATAACAGAATATTGCTCTAGAAGTTTTATGCCCCGATTGTTGTCCTCTCTTTTCCCTTGAATGTTTTGCCCCCAGATGGTAAGGCAATTTTTGCCAGAGATAGGTGTAGCGCAACTCAAATTACCAGATAGTTCTAAGCTTCTCCCTATCCAAGACCGTTGTGCGTGGTGAAAAGCCACACCCGACTAGAGGTTCCATTGTTACTGCAGAACACAACGGCTCTAGACCAGAAAAGGTCGAAAAACAATCCCTTCTCGGCAAGATTGTCTTCTTGCCGAAATGAACCAGTATTGAAAAAGGACTATTTTAGGCAACGGCGTAGTGTGGGTTAGAGGCGCACGGGGCGGAGATAAAGTTTGCCGCTCGTACAGAGTCACGTTCGTCACCTTACGCCCTCGCCTTGCTACGCCACTTATTATAGGCGTCTAAGGGTGAACTAGCATTCCAAAATATCTCACTTTAAGTTTTTGTTTCATATTTTAACTTTTTTGTCCATATGTACAGTAGGTTATATCTTTATTTTTTACAGGGTGACTCAAACTCTTTTAATTTAAAAATTTTGATTTACAGAAAACTGTATATTTTTTTCATTATAGGATTTTCAAAGAAATTAGCATTTTAAAAACACGTCATTTCATAATCTATACAGGGTTATTTTTTAAACATATCCAGTTTACAGTCAAATTTTCTGCAGTTAAGCTCTTCGAATCATACATATAAATACGGTATATTATGTAAAGAACCTATTGTTTTTTTTCAAAATCATAATATATCGCCATATTTTAAAGATAGTTAGCGCTAGATATTTGTAATTTGGTGTGTGATGGCAGTTATCAAAATAGAGTTTTGACTTGAAATTCTTATTTAGGTCTGTCATATATAATGTATTTATATGTAGTATATATTTGTTCAATGTTCGCTATTTGATTGCTGCCAACCAAACATCCAATTTCTAGTGCAAGTCGTTTTTAAAATAATTTGATAATATTATGATTTTGGGTCACTTTATATACAAGGTGTTCCAGAAATAAGTGCAAGTATTTTAACTGGTTGTATAGTTCAACCCCAGAAACACGCCTATGAGGTTTTTCGCGAAAATTTTTTTTCGAAAATTCGGAATTTTTTGAAAATTTTTTTCGATTTTTTTTAGTTAACAAACATAATGTCTTAATAATATGGCAACATAGGTAGTAGATTAAATTTACAAGAAAAAAAGGAGAAATTATGTTTTTTGACTAAAAAGTAAAAAAAAAATCCGAATTTTCAAATTTTTTTTTCGCGAATAAAACCTCATAGGCGTGTTTCTGGGGTTGAACTATACTACCAGTTAAAATACTTGCATTTATTTCTGGGACACCCTGTATATATAAAATCAAATAACCCTGTAGGGAAACATCGCATCGAAAAGTTGTATAAGAAAATCTGCCCTTATTTTTTAATAAACAATCACTCGCTAATTTTCTTCGCATTTATAAGTTTACTCCCTTATACCGCATAATCAACAAGTTTTATGACAAACAAAAATCTAACGTATTCTAAATCTTCTAAATTCCAATAAAAATTGTTTCTCTCGTCATAAATAGTAGTTCATCAAACTTTTTGATTCTCGTCGGTGAAATGTGTAACTGCTAACTCCTATTTTTTTTTTTTTTTTTTTTTTTAGAGGAGATAAAAGAAACGGTACAAAAAATATGTGTACACATGTAACAAGTATATTCATGCGTTAATATCATAAAGAGATAACAATAATATTTGTTGGGGAAAAATAAGTGTCAACATTTCGATAAAAATTTAATGTAAAAATTATATATTATTTATATATATTATTTATATACTATTTATATATTGTTTATATTATTATTATTTAATTAATAATAAATAATTAAGTTAAAAATGGAGTTACCGGGTTAACACGTTTCACTGACGTTATGTTTTATACTGTATGATTGAGAAAAATACGTGTCAATATATCACAGAAATGACGATCGATGATAATTTATTATTTGACATATATATACATATGTATAATAGTAACTTTTAAAGTAATTTAAAAAATGATAAATCGATTGATATTATTAAGGTAACGAGAACTGTTCTTCTTTCTATCATACTGTAAGTATATAACGGATATAATGATACATTTTTCCATTTTTAGAATCCAATAAAGCACTTTATGTATGCTGTCGCCGATTGCCGAGTGATACCGAAGAATTAATAAAGTAGTATGTAGTAGTATGCAAATAACCGTTAAATGGATTTAAACATAAAAGAACTTTTGATATCAGATTTTATGATAATCTGTTAAAATTTTAATAAAGTCTAGACCAAACGTTGATATAGTTTTTAATTTACTATTTATTTACTTATTACGGGAGTACCACTTTCCGATGAGATACAGGCTTGAAATTTGTAGGGTAGTATCATTGACCCTCCTGGAGTCTCAATACCAAATTTCAGGCTTCTAGCTTAAGTTTTAATTTTCTCGATTACCTACTCTATTTGAGCTCTCCGGTACTATCAGTTCCGGATCAGATACAGGCCTGAAATTTGTAGAGTAGGTAATATCAGTGACCTTTCTGGAGTCTCGAAACCAAAAAAAACTTATTCATATCTTTACCACAACCTCTAGATTATACGTAGAAACTTGATTACTATAAATAAAACAATCATCTTGTAAATAATAGTTGCAAATGAAAAAAATAACAGATACAAATAATAACAATGTAAATTCAACACCCTACCTTCAATAATATTTTTTCTACACTAAAAAAGAACACATTTCTTAAGAATTTGCAAAAAGAAATCTATAAAATATACATAACAAATAAATTTTGTCTTATAGAGAATATATTACATAGAAATTTAATTATAACTGCTAATGTTATTATTATTTATTATAATCAAAAATAACGGTTTAATAATACGTCAAAAGGATACTTTTATGTCGTTGACAAAATGGCGAATAAACTTTTTTTACAATATAAATATTGTTTTGCAATTTATATTATAATATTATATATTTCTATATAGTTATTATTAAGAATTAAGATTAAAATGTACCAGCTCTCTAATTAAAAATATCTAAAAATACTCCAACTCTTTAATTGTTAAATAACTTATTACCAATAGATTCTGTATAGGCAACCAAACTTTCCCTTCTTCAATAATATTTATTATATACTAGATACTAGTTGAAGCCTGGCGCATCCGCCACAACATCATAAAAAAAATACTTTTTATTTTTTTTTAATTAAATGAAATACAAAAAATCCGCCTGCGACAGTTTTTAGAAGAGCCAATTAGCTATCTTTTAGTAAAAAAAGCAACTTTCTAGAGCAAGTCGTTACTTCAGTATAGACGACACAGATAAACATTAGGATTTTATATATGTAGATGTTATTAATATATTATAGCTATAAATTAAATTATAACAAAGAAATAATATTACTAAGGGTTTAATAAAATCGTTATTTTAACAATAACAATATTTATAACGTAAACGAAAAAGGTAGTATAAATTAAAAACAAAACCGGCAACATCGCACCATAATTCCTGTGTCAGAATCGGCGACCGTTGAGATATTTGAAGGTCGTTCATGTTTACTAAGTGTTTATTTCATAATTATTACCATATTATATATGTTTTTAAACAAAATATTGGTTTCTTTGGTACAGAAACAAATGCTAATATCCTATATACACTAATATTGAGGGCTAGGTATGTATTTATTAATAAAATAGGTGAATTTAGTGCTCCACCGCAGAGCCCAAATGTTACCGGGAAGATTTATTTTAGCAGCTTATATTTTTCTTCGGTCGTGTATGCACTAAAAAGAACCATATAATGAAACAATTTTATAATTTTTTATAAAACAACTTAGAAAAAGAATATCTAAAACCGGCATCTGATATAACCTAACTTCTAACTTACTTTTCAAACTCAAATTTAAGGTTTTGTATTCACAATTTTAGCCACGCACATTGTTCAATTAGAAAAAACACGTTTCTAAAAGCTAAATCTGGTAAAAATATGCCCAAATATTAACTGAACGGTAAAGGTGTGGATCCGGTGGCTGACCTTGAAGCCCATATTTGCTGCTTTTGATCATCGATACTACGCAAGCGCACATCGTCGATGTTGCCAAATTGCAGTTTATTTTCGAATTATTTGTTAGTCAATGATAATACAAATTCTATAATTAATTTTATAATTTCAGATTTATCTTGATATCCAAAATTAACCCTTAACTGGTCCAGTAATAGATATGTATTATAAACGGTCCGGCGTAGTCTGTGGGACTACGCCTTCTAAAAAGTTAAAAAAACACACAAAAACTAAAAAATATCAAATTTTTATTTCATTATATGTTATATTATGTATTATTAAACTAATCTAGATAAAAATGGGTACAATTAATATAAACTTTCAGAAAATATAGTACAAAATAAAATAGCATACATATAAATTTGGAAAAAAAAGCAATATAGATTTTTATTAAGTTTTAAAAATAAAAACAAATTACTAACAGTCATTGCAATATAGAAATAAGTTTTTAATACTATTATGTAAAAAAATAAGTTATAAAACTGGAGTTAACGGAAAAGTCTTTAGTTACAGCATGAGGCAAATTTCATTGTTTTCCTGAACATGTTTTACACAATGGATTCGTACATTCTAGGCATTAAAAATAATTAACTAGGACATAACCTTGTCTTTGACTAGGATAAGAACTCTAGGATAAAAATATCTCCCTAGGCATCTTCTGGTTGTACAGGAATTGCAAGTATTCTACCAATTGTAAAGCATATTTCTCGTGGAATATTTGACATTGTCAAACGCATTTGTCTGGCAGATTGTCATATTGTCACTGTCACAGTCCTCATCATATCATTTTAATAGAGTTTCTTCATAACTAGAGTCTCCTAAACGCACATTTTTCGAAGGCCCGGCCATATTTTACAAAAGTTTGTCACACACAAAATCTTACACAAACGGTCCGGCGTCGTCTGAGGGTGCAGCCACACTATCCTAAAAACGACGTATCGGCGTAACGGCGTAATGACCTTGAATAGATTTCCAGTAATTCTATTGGCTGAAACATTCATCTGTCAGAAATTTTATCTGTCAAATTCATCTGTCAAAAATTTCAGCCAATAGAATTACTGGAAATCGATTCAAGGTCGTTACGCCGTTACGCCGATACGCCGTTTCTAGGATAGTGTGGCTGCACCCTGAGAGACTACGACTTAAGTAACTTCTGCCAGAACTTCTAAAAAACTAATCCAGTTTGGTCATAAATATGACTATCAGTTGTTGACCGTGAGGGCACCGTACATAAAACTCAGTTTTATGTACGGTGGTGAGGGGGAGGATTAGCTAGAACGCCAATCCTGTAGGCGGTCCCAGTAACTAATGAGAATGAGTTAATTATTTGGCGTAGTCTGTCAGACAACGCCGGACCAGTTAAGGGTTAAGGTAAGAAGGATAATGAAGATTGTGAAATGAAAGTATTATGAATATATAAAATTGTAATAATAATAACATTTATTTATATATTTACATTAGAATTAAAATTTATCATTAACGGATTTTTTCTTAATGGTTTTAAACTTATTAGAATTATTTTATTTCTTTCAAGTTATTTAATTTTTAGTTATTTACAGGCAACAATAGTTTTGTTATATGTATTGATATTTTGAAGTACTACCATGACGGGTCTTATTATAGAACAATAAACGTCAATCGGAGATAGAGGTAACATTTTACCTATTATATAATGTTACTAATATAAAATACTTTGATTATAATTAATGTTTGTATCATAATTTCTTAAAAATATCAAGTTAGTGGATTTTATCGAAGAGTGTGTTGATAAGACTAAAATAAGCTTTATGTTTTATCTTTTTCTCTTTAGAAGGGAGATGGTTTGTATCGTAGAATATATTACAGTATTTAATATCGTGTACTTTGATATTCTTTTCT